GGGATCGCGGGACGATCTCCGGCCACCGTAAGCGCGGGCCTGCGGACGGCGAGCATGGGTGGCTCCCCGTCCGACCAGAAACAGACCCGAGCGTACGGCGCGTCGCGTTCCGCGCGCGCCTCAAAGAGCCATCAGACCACCACAGATGGGGCCCAATAGGGCCGATGCCGATTCGGAGTCGCGGAGAACCTAACGGGTAACCGGGGCTCCGGCTCGACGTGCAGGAGAAGGAACGGGGTGGTTTTTAGTCAGTAAGAGTCTGACACTCCCTCCCGCCTCACCCAGGCGGGGGCAGTCATTCGATGATTTTCCCCCCTTAAAAAAAAAAAAAAAAATGCAATAGAGATGATGACAAGGTATGAAAATTAAAAATCTAATTAGTCCATCTGTTAGGTAATGAAAAAACATTAGACACGTATTTTTTATTTTGATGTATAATAAAATTATACTTAGATATAACGAATCAAAGTTTAGGAGTGGGGGCCAAAACGTCATTTCTACGCATAAGGACGGAAGTAACGTCACGCGACATTTCAAATCAATATATTGTCGAAAGTAAATAAAAATACGTGTGTAATATTTTAAAATAATTTACCAGGCGGACATTAAAATAAAAATTAGTCATCTACCTTATTGTATAGTTTAAAGGGTAATGCATAGTCTGTTAATAAAAGATGAAGAGGTTATTATTACTAGTGATTGGAAGTAATAACACAGTGATCTTTTAAATATGTATCATTGTTATGTACGTAAATATTGTTCGGATTTGTTTAAGGAGGCAATTACTATTGTATTTCTGTTTGTAGATATAATCAGTAGATGACATATATCACCCAGAGATGATAGCGATGAGTAGGTACAATACAAACTATGTTGAAAGTTCATAAACTGACATTTTGCTTTGTGTTTTGGAAAGGGCTAGGGAGTGGTGCAAATTTTTTTATGTAGGTTTTATATTAATCTACAGCACTTGCCGGGCAACTGGCAAGGGATCTCGGGTTCGATTCCCGAGTCGGGCAAAGTACAGTTGGGTTTAAAAAAAATCTCAGTAATAGCACGGAGTCTGGAAATGTGCCCGGTATATGGCAATAGGCACACTCCCTATTACATGGGACTTTAACATAAATAGTGAAAAGTGGGTGTTACATTGTGCAGTGCCATTAAGACGATTAATGTGCACGTCGGCCTACCCCTTCGGGGATATGTTACCGAGTCTTCAGAAGTTGGCGCATACTCTGACTAAATTCATGCTGCAATACGTTTAATTACGTTTGTATTTGGATGGACAAATTTTAAAAAATATTTAAACAAACAAACAATCAAACAAACAAACAAAAAAACAAACAAACAAACAAAAAAACAAACAAACAAACAAAAAAACAAACAAACAAACAACAAATTTTAGAAAATGTTTGTTTAAACATTTTCTAAAATTTATCCTTTTGTTCTTGGCTCTTCCCCTAGCCGAAACCATGAAACTTGCATGTAAGATTGTAAATTATTTAGCTACTGGCCGGACGACTAGGACACGACATTTCACAATTTTGTTGAGCCAGTGTCCATCGCAGAACATTTTCAAATAGGCTTCTTTTTAAATTGGCTTCTATTTCGTCTTCTTTATTCAATTCACCACACGGTGTTTGTACAGAGTATATCGTATCAACTCAAGAACTTCAAAATCAATTAGAAATCAAACGTCGACCTTTCAACATATAAAACAAATATTACTTCGATCTGGGATCCAACACTACCGCGTCACGTCGTTGTTCTGTGTTCATACTTCGCTAACCAATAAGACAATTTTATTACTCCCCATAGTATTACTTCCGTGAACATTTTAACATCATGCCATAATGTGCGTATAAAAATACAAAAACTCCTATCATTTACCTTCCTCCCAATAACCATAGAAACGACAAGAAATTCACAAGAGACGCATTTCTTAAACAAGATATTTGGACGAATAATGTCGCTGGCTTAAGAACACCTAAGGGATGGAAATAAATAAAGTCCTGCTTTAGTACCTTTTTAACTTCGAAGGGAATTACTTAGAATTGTCAAGTGAATCCTGTTCGCTCCAAGATTGTATTTTTTGAGCAAACTTACTATGCTCGCATAAAAGCGACTTTGTAAGAATGGATTTAAAGATTCAAACGAGTTATTACTAAAAGGGTTTGTGAAAAATCTTCTAGATTGCAAATAATAAAAGTTTGATTGGATTGTTCATCATTTGTGTATTTATAAGTCTCTTCTATCATCAACAGCCTATAAATGCCCACTGCTAAGCAAAGCCTCTTCTCACACAGAGAAGTTTTGAGCATTAATCACCACGCTTGCTTATAGCGGGTGGACGATTTCAAACTTGTATTAGAAATTATGAGCCCAGGTTTCCTCGCGATATTTCTCGTCACCGTTTGTCAGTGAAATCTAAATAATCTTAGAAAGCACATACAACTCGGAAAATGTCATATTGGTATTAGTTATTGATAGGTTCTGAACCCGCACTCTCATGCATTAGGTCCGGGCCACCATGACATATTTTGTAAATATTTATTGTAATGTAAACATTTTTTAGTTTTTATTATCGTATTTCGTGATTGATCTTTCGTGGGCAAAAACAAGTTAGTAGTAAAATACTAACCAACTACTATTTTGAATAACATTTTAGAAATTAAAACAAAGTTATTGTTTTACGTTGGCGAAAACATGTACTGATCTTGTTTATTAATAAAACTGGTAAATTACCAACAGTACTCTTAAATATAATATCAAAGGTTAAACATGAATAAAACTCTAATGAATAGCTTATTAAATGTAAATAAATTTCAGAGTTTTACAATTTAATTATCATTCAAAAAATTTAATCTTGGTTTTTGACTATAGATTTTCACAGTATCCCATTGGAGACATTGTAATATATCTTTACCATTATATTATGCAGACCAAAAAGAAGCAAATGACATAACAAAACCTAATAATACTTTAAAGTTCAGCGCCTTCACAATTAACCTTAGCAAATCTCATTTAAGCAACAACACAAAAGATTAAATAGTGCTAACAAAATAGTTGCAGGAGCATAACACTAGAAGTGTTTACTAACAATTTAACTTCGCCGGTTAAACTAGTTTTACTACGGTAGTCTCATGTTGATTGTTATTGTCCAAGATAACTCAACTGTGTCCAGTCTTCAACTTAATACACGTTTAAGGAATACTCAAAATACAGTTTACTTTAACGACGTTCTTAAAATAGTTCTGTCGCAAATTTTACTTAAAGAAGAACAGGGATAGAAATATATTTTAATGGCGAATAAACATTATCTTGGACTAAAAATTTAATAGTGGCCATTCAGGACTTTGTATCTGAGAATTATTGTAGGCTGTAGTGTTTTAGTGCCAGATTATAGCTAGATAGGGCTTTTAGGCTTATTGTCGGTTTGTGGTCCTAAATTGGATTTTGTATAAGACTTTATAAGTCTTGAGATCAAATTTATTACATTTATTTTATACTTAAATACAACTTGGGTGTCTTCAAGTGCCGTGTGAACAAGTTGCTTATAGGTAGACATGCTCTATAGTCAACAACACTCTTCGCTTACCACCAGGCGCCATGGTGGCCAAATGTTATCCTATCAAGTATTAAGGAAAGATTATTAATGTATTAGGTTTTACGATATAAAATATTCTCAGTAATATTCTGCAACTGTTCTCAGGTTGAGAAACTACAATAAATAGGTACTTGCCAACTATACGGTCTGACACTCCTGCCGCCTCACCCAGGCGGGAGAAGTGATTCAATGATTTTCCCCCCTTAAAAAAAGTGTATAAAATGTCTTAAGTTTCTTACCTAAAGATCACTTCATTGATCAATAGCTCAACACGTAAGTATCAGATTACCTTAAATATTTTTAGCTTTCTCAATTTATTTGACAATCAATATTAATTTATTCCTTCCTGGGAGACACTGATCTATATTTGGGACACTCATTAAACTCATCATTATTGCCTTGATAAGTCCAGTTTATGACATTTATTTTCAATAGCGTGGGACGAGTTAATTTTAAATTTAAAACAACCTGACTTTTTCCAATAAATGTATTCAGGCTAACTTTTAGTACCTATGCTAAATAGGGCTTTGTAGAAGTCTTGAATCGGGATCTTTTGTTTGTGATTCAACAACAGACTTATATAAAATCTATCATCGTCCTTCGATCTACATTTTTTGTGTACCTAAGTAAAAAGTTTGTTTTAAAGAACGAATAAGATTTTCTGAATTAGGTACTTGCCAACTAGTCAAATTCGATACTTTTTTCGAACTGACAAAAGCGATAGTTTTCTACGAATGTTGTACGTAATTGTGTATTATGACGTCACGTTTTTTGGCGTCAAACAGCATACTTATTTCTCAAAAATTTGCTGGAAAATACTAAAATGAAGTTAGTCAAAAAATCAATTAACGAAAGTGTGATTATTTTTTTAACTTATATTAATTATTGTAATAATAAAATTGTTGTATTTATTGTTGACTGCCTCGTTGGCCGAGTTGTCGCAAGTGCGATTACCGGGCAAGGGGTCTCGGGTTCGATTCCCGGGCCGGGCAAAGTATTACTGGGTTTTTACAAAATTCTCAGTAGTAGCACGGAGTCTGGAATTGTGCCCGGTATATGGCAATAGGCTCACCCCTTATTACATGGGACTCATAACATAAATAGTTAAAAGTGGGTGTTACATTATACAGTGGCATAATGTGCACCTCTGCCTACCCCTTCGTTATGTTATGTTATGTTTGTATTTATTGTAAAAATAAGTTTATTGTAGGTATTGAAGAGTCAACATGTGAAAAAATATTTATTTTAGATGGTAGCGGGGAATCTGTTTAGTGATAAGCTACTCTGTTGCTATGGAATTAATAACACAATTGGTACTGATATACTATAAGTATTATCTCTACAGAGACTTAAAGGTAGAAAAATGAAATAAAGCAGATAGTTAAGTAGGTATATAAAACAGCCTTTATTAATTTCAAATTGATACATTACGATTGCACATAGAAATAACTTATTTTCTAATCTTACTTATCCTAGTCTACTATATTAACTTTAACCTGTTCCAGAAGTTTTGATTTACTTCTGTTAATTTTCTTATATTTGGGGTTCGCTTTCACTGATCGCCTTATACTGCTTCTAGTCATGACTCTGTCGAAGATTTCTTCACTTGTATCCTCGCTGCCATCATCAGAGAAATGATTGTTCATACTGTCGTTTGATTTGTTGGCTCGAATCACTAGTGGCTCAATTCCCCCATCTGAGAATAAGGCTTCATCAGCGATAGGCCTCTCATCATCACTAGGCGACTTATCATTACTAGTTTGTCGCTTGAAAAATCTTTTTTCTGCAACTGGTACTTGTAATTTGTTCTTTTTATCCTCTTTCTTCTTTGAACCCTCTCGATTCGATGGCTTATATTTTATTGGAGAGAAGTCAACCCTTCTTAGAAAACTTATTGTATCTCCAAATTTTCTACTACACTTCCTCGTAGTTTTAACTTCAGGTTTAATTTCCTCAGTTTTGCAGTCATCATTTTCTAATGCGACACCAGAATCAGAGTTTGAATCAACCATAATATTAATTTCAGGTACACTAATAGAAAATTCATTGGACGTCAACTGTTTAGTTAGTTCTTCTATTTTCTCAGCTTGTTTCTGTATTATAAGATCCTTTTGTGCGAGTTGTTTTGTAACGGATTCTGTTCTCAGAGCTAAATTTACTTCGTATTTTTGCAATTCACCCGATAAGAATTCCAATTCCTTTTTCCTATTCGATTCCAATTTCTTTATAACATCAGCTTGTTTCGCATATGCTTCTTTTAGCCTCACGACTTCTTGTTTATGTGTCGTGTTCAGGAATTTAATAATGTTTATTGCCTCTTGAAGTGTCGTTGGCTGCATTATATTTTCTTTTGTAGCTTTCCCCGACATTATTGCTTCCATTCGGATCTGTAACGATAAAATGACACACATTAATACAATTGTGAACATTTTATACCTAGGATTGCGTAACATTTTTGTCATTTATTAGGTTTTGTGCAATAGGTCATTATTTGTTAATTAAGAACTAGGTAATTAGGGACGATCTTTTACTAATGTGATATCGTGATAAAAATAGTAAATCATAAATAATTAAAGGGAAAGATCAATTATGCAATACTATTGTAACTTGTTTTAATACAATTATGATGTAGTTAAATAATATTCAAATGTTTTTTGTAATTGCGTACTTTGAAACAACGAATAAGTCGATCCTAGAAACGACTTAATAACAACATAAGACAAAATAAAATACACTAGTTTCTCAGTACATTTCTAGGTAGGTCAACTATAGAGAAATCAACACATGATCCGTGATAGACAATGATCACATGACTAACATATCGTTGGATAGTTTATCGTATCTAGTAATAACATTATAACTATTGTAATAACAAGTTATTGTTCCTGGATAGATCTTTTTGTAACAAAAACATCATTTTCTGTTTGACATACTTCATTGAATGTTTTCGTTCCTGCAAACTGTATATAGTGTTATGAATTATTGTAGGTCACACATTATGACTGGTACACCTGTGCATCTGTACAAAGGTTATGTAAAGAAGTATTCCGCTAGTTATAATATCTTAGGGGGCGTGCATAAATTACGTGAATGTTTAAGGGAGGGGGTAGACTCAAATCTCAACTAATCTTACGTTGGAGAGAGGGGGGGGGGGTCTCGGCAAATATCTATCATGTAAAATTTTTTCTGATAGAAACAAAAAAAATACACTATTTTTACCGACTTCATAGTTCATTTATTCCAGATTGTATATGCTTAAGATTTAATTGTACATGCACATGGATTTTTTTTCTTGTTGCAATAACAATCCAACGCGTTTACGTGTAAAACCAACATTTTGAAAATCTCACGTGAGATTGGGGGATGGGGAAGGGTGTTGAATAAAATTTCACGAAATCTTTCCAAGGGGGAGGGAGGGACAGACAATTAAAAAAACACCTCACATAATTTATGGACGCCCCTTTACTTCTTATTTATAATATTATTAATGCGAAAATTTGTGTTTGTGTGTATTTTTGTTACTCAAAAACGTCAAAACGGTACCTGTTTAAATTTGAAACAGGGGTCGATAATGGTCTGAAATAAAACACAGGCTACTTTTTACCCAAGGGATGGCTGGCAAAGTTACGAGCAGAAGCCAGTATATTATAACTAGCTACTTCCGCGCGGTTACACACGCTCTGCTTAACTCCTATTGGTCGTAGCGTGATTTTAATTTTTTTTTTGGCCTATAGCCATCCTCGATAAATGCGCTATCCAACACAAAAAGAATTATTCAAATCTGACTTGTAGTTATGGAGATTTTTTCTTTCAAACAAACAAACAAACAAACTCTTCCGCTTTATATAATAGTATAAGATATAAGATTATCATAACAACTTATACATATTGTACATTTTTTTTTACAAAGAAGGTGTGTTTGTTTGTTTTATGTCGTCGTCGCAATGACTACACTATTTATGAGACAGACAGAAATAAGGCAATTTATATCGTTTGTCTTCAACCACGCGAGGGAACACGGGTCCGCAAAACTAGTACAACCATATTAGAACAGCTGTTATAAGGACGAGTTAAATGTGGGAACCAGGCTCGATTCAGTCTTCGAAAAAATCCAGCATGGCATTGTAAAACCGGCACCAGCTATTAACCTTGAACACGTTTAACAAGTTTACTCTGAAGACAACGGGACTTCAACTGACGATTATTATTATCCCAAAATACACTATGGAAGTGCATTCAAGGATAATGTCAATAATTTCTATTTTTAACTAAAATTGCGTGAATATACTGAGAAAAGCGCTCTACTAGTTGCGAACCACAGAGGGGTTCTTCCTCATGAGCAGCGTGCGCGGTCGCGTGAGTTGCGCGACGTCGCCGTCGTAATTTAGTATGTCTCACGATAGTTATTACAAATTTCTATTTTTGTCACTTAATGATTTTAAATCGTGTTGAATGTGTTCTATATATTTCACATCTGGAGAAGTAACCTAGTCATCATCGTCTATTTGATGCCCTGCGTTTCCGTCATATACATATTTCTTTCCTTTCTTAATCATCTTCCATATCAGCTGATGTATACGCGGAGCCCAGAAGATGTAAACGTGTTTTCATTTTTTTTATCCGTATTTTTAGTACCTAATAAGGTTAAGTTTTTTGTCATTAAGTTATAATATTTATGTTTGTATAGACAGAGGTTAACATATAAAATGTAATATCTATTTTCGTGAGTGTTGAGTTTCATGTATTAGGTAATGGTGCTGTTAATATGTGGCAACCGCAAAACCAGTATACACTAAATACTGAATTGACCTGAATGAAGCGGGCAAAACAGCTGGCAGAATTAGTATTCAATAATTGGTACTTTACTCGACTAGAAAATCGGAGTCTGTGCCTACTCGAACAACGAAATACCTTATTTAGATTCGATAATGTGTTCATAGTAGTACCAATATATATCATAAATGGAACTGGAACAGAACATAAACGCATCTAACTATGAATTGCTATAATAGTTACTAAGTGTTAATATTTTATTGAAAACATATAACGAAAATATATGATTTATTCTTATTTGACTACCTCCTTAGCTGAGTGGTCGCAAGTGCTACTGTACTGCCGGGGAAGGGGTCTCGGGTTCGAATCCCGGATCCGAGAGTTGCATTGTACAGTGGCAATAAGTGCTGTAAGTGCCCTCTGCCTATCCCTTCGGGGATAAAAGGCGTGATGTTGTGTTATTACTGACGTACTGAATGGGAATTTTGCTTCCATGGGTCATTAAAATTTATGACTACATTAGAACCAACTAATACCGTCACAATCAAGAACTGAAAACTTCTTACGCATCTAACATAAAAGAAAAATATACAAAAAAAAAACAAGAAAAGATAATTTGACAGCATTTAGAGTGGGATAAAGCACAAAACCTTTTTTAAACAACTAGATATTTCCCATACGATTTTACCTGTACTTTTTCCCTTTATCGGCACCCAATTTGTTATAGCACAGACACACAGACAGGTGAAAGAAATATATGACTGAGAAAAGTCGCTTTTGAATCCTTTCAAAGTAGACCTCGTCATAGATATAATTAAAAAGTGTGCAGAAGCCCATGAGCGAAGGCTTCACCACCATGTGAACATCGAGGCTATCCAGCTCCTCGACAACACGGACATAGTGAGAAGGCTAAAAAGGACAAAACCTTTTGAGTTAACATAGTGAAGTGTTAGTGTAAAGTAGTGAGTGCTACCGGCAAAGAACACAATAACAAAGTGTCTTCCCCTTAATAGAGACAATAAGAAAAGTGTTAATGGACACATTCTTAGTTATACTTTCCTAGCAAATTAAGACAAAATAGAATTACTTATTAGCATTAAAGCTAGATTGTAATTTTTTTATGATGTTACCGCATGAGGTCACATCATATAAACAAAAAAAAAAAAAAAATTGTCTTTAAGATAAGACAAATACGAACATTTTTGTTCGATTTAACGTACTGTTCTAGGTCCGTTAGATTTTTTGCACATGGTAGATGGCGTGGGTGTCGAAAATTGGGTCTCTTTAGTGAGGATAAAATAATTGACATTAGTATTTGAGTAGACATTTTTGATTTTGTAATCAACCGCTCAGTGCTACGTCTTGAATTCCGTAATGTTCATAAAAAATGGGTAAACTACATAATTATTAATTCAAGGTAATTAGTCTATTGCATTTTATGAATTAAAATTAATTAATGGATATTAGTATTTATGAATTAATGGATATTGGACATCTATTTCAACGAATTTAAGCAATGACGTATCGTAATATGCATACGCAAGTTCCTAATTATAAAGTAGCTACCCTGACAGCAGCTTTGCCTGCATTCCCGACCATTATCCACCCCTGTTCCAAATTTCATGTCGATTCCTTCAGCTGCTTTGTCGTGAAAGCGTAACAAACAAAGACACACAGACATACATCGTCACAAACTTTCGGATTTATAGTATTAGTAGGATTTCTTTTAGGCAGGAAAATCATCGAATGACTGCTCCAGTCTGGGTGAGGCAGGAGGGAGTATCAGACTCTTACTGACTAAAAACCACCCCGTTCCTTATTCTGCACTTCAAGCCGGAGCCCCGGTAACCCGTTAGGTTTTCCGCGAGCCCGAATCGGCATCAGCCCTATTGGGCCCCATCCGTGGTGAGTATTAGTAGGATAGGAAGTAGAATTACTAAAGAAATATGCATACTATAGGTAGTTTTGATCACTTCCTTAAAAAAGTTTTGTTATATTAGAGAGAAGTAAAAATCATCGCTAGAGATAGAAACTTATTCTATTCATTTGTTTTTATCACTGATATGATAAGAGCATGGATAAGAAACAACTAGGAAAAAATCGTGCCTACATAAACTTCACTTGGTCACCTGTTATGGCGGATAGAACTAGGGATGTAACTTTTAAAACTGTAGAAATATCGATATTTTAGAATTGGTTTTAATTGACTTATCAAAAAATATCATTATTTTATGATTCATCTGGATTTAATTTTTATCTAGCTGCTAAACATTACCAACGTATTAGCGAAATATATTTAGTAGTTGCTGCGTGCACTGTCACTCCAGTCGATCGTGCCTATACATTCACATCATAACTTTCACGATACTTATGTATCGAAATTCATGAAAAGGATTTTCCATCAACTGGTCAATATTTATATACTTAAGGTTAAGTAATTTTTGAGGGTTGAAAAATAAAACTGTATCAAAGTATTCATAAAATCAAGATTTATAATATACAATATCTTCGTATTTTTCGTAGTGTTTCCCTGTAATGTAATCTGCAAAACCATCTTTCGAGAGTCTCCAGAACTGGTTCCAAGTTCATTTTCATGCACATATCTGGCTAGAGGCTGCAACATAAATAGTATAATTTAACTTACTTAATCCAATTGAACATAGATTTTTCTATAGATTCTATAGGTACTGTACTAAGCTCTGAACGAAAATGTTTGTACATTACAATGATAGTGATAGATAGCGGAGGAAAACAGAAACATATAGGTACAAGAACCCGGTTAGTTATGAACTTAATATAAATGTTAAATAAAATGTTAAGTTTGCACCTCTTCAAAAAATGCTTCCAAAACTAATATAACAAAACACATAATGAATCGTTTACATTATGATTTACCAATAGAGCTTGTAGCGATAGGGCCCCATCACGTAGATTTACTATTAATTTATTGTTCGGTAAAAACATTAATCTTCAAAATAAAGTTAACAAACAAAGATATGTTTCCTTCTAGTATCTATATTTCCCACATTAATTATTTCCAGCCAAGAACTTCTGCGTGGTTCAAGCACAAACTAAAAAGAAAATTTATAATATTATTAAAATTATCGGCAGAGTTCGACACATTCTAATAAATACTCTAAAAATACCCTAAAGTTATATTTCATTGGTTTGTTTCATTTGAATCCGTCGAGCGGCATTTGATAAAAAAATCAATTTTGACAAAAATGCATTTCCCACAATATTATTCCTTATCTCATATTGTACAAAAATTATTCTCTATTGTATTAATTCTTTATTACATTACGTAGGTATTGACGATGGTGGAATTTTGTCGATAAAATGAAATTTTTGACGAGTACTTAATGTTTTTTGTATTTTGTCATTATGTCAAATTAATGCACTTTATCATTCAGAATTTAGTATAGTTCTTTGTTCTACTTTTGACGCATTTATTATGTACGATAAAATTATCGATACGGGAACAATCATGTACATCACTATTTTTTAATGAAAATTGTTTTAGACGTATTTCAACTAAAATTAATGAAAATAAGCACTGCATTAGTTAGAAAAGTATTGTATTTAGTCAATTTGCAGCAACCACACTTGAATAGTTTGAAAAACAGAGATATTTTAATGAAAAATAACAGTACTTACCGATGTAATGTTACACCTGCCGGTTTACTAATATTTTTAGTGCTACATCCAATAACACTGCACCCGGGCATAGTTCTTCTCACTAACCAATAATTTCTTTGTTTACCACGCACAAAAACAACAGGAATTCTACAAATTTTCGTAAAAAAATATTGTTGACCAATGCTTTGACAGCTGATGTACCACTGACATGCACTGATAACAGGGACTAAGATGGCCAATTTGGCACAACTAGGTTTTTCTGATGACGTCAAAAAATTATGGCCAGAATGACAATAATGTGTTGTCTCTTTCTGCATAAACAAAGAGACATAAGTAAAAAAGAAACAACAGTATGTTTATGAATTTACCGTCAAGATGGATCCTAAATTCTACCCGTAGACAATAGCCAGACATCTATGTTATATTTATAAATCTATGGTTTTTATAGTTGGCACAATATTACCTTAAATAGTACTATAATACAAAATAATACGGTTCCTATTATTATTATTACAGGTACTTAGACTAGAGCCAGCACTTTAGTGTCATACCCTAGATTAGGGTAATCCTGTATGGAGAATACAATATGGGGGATTACCGTAATCCAATAAAGAGAATTGGGATAGTATGGACAATGTGGACAAGTTGAAAAACATCGTTAATCTAATGATTATTGTGACAAATAGTACACAGGTATAGGTAAAATATCGCAAGGTCTTAGGCAAACGTCGTAGAAAATTATATGAACCTGGTAGTCATGCAAAATGCTGTTACCACCCCCTACTCTTCGCGTGGGTGTAGAAAGTGACGAATAAGGATGTACAAATTTGTTTTTTTTTTTAATTCCCCACACTAGGATTTTCTCCTGTGTCGTGACTGCGTTTACAAACGTACAAATTCACATACACATCACACCTAGACCCGGAACTACAATCAGTCTGTGGATCACACAAAGAGTTACTCCGTGAGGGCATCGAACCCGCTACACGTTGCGCGGCAGCCAGTTGCCCAGCCACCGAACCAACAGTGCAGTCTATATATTGAGAAACTGTGGCTTTCACAGAGTCCTATGATTATTCTAAACTGCATAAAACTTTTAAACAGTCACAAGAGTGGTGACTATAGCAAACTCTTATGCATAAAATCTTTAGTGCAGCAGGTCACGATCTAGCTGTTACTCTTGAAACCAATGTCAAAGCAATTTCAATCCAATATAATCTCAATAATTATATTTATTGTCAAAACAATGTGAATTTGACTACACGGTTGGCGCGGTGGTTCGGCAACGGTGATTCCCGCACGGAACAACTCCTTGTGTGATCCAAAGATTGTTGTTCCGGGTCTGGGTGTAATGTGTATTTGAACCTATATGTTTGTAAATGCACCCACGACACAGGAGAAAATCCTAGTGTGAAGCAAAAAAAAATTATTGTTTTGACATTAAATATACATTAATTAAATTAAAATTTAAGGTTAAAATAGCATTAAGTATGAGTACGTAATATAAAGCCAAACTCAATACCATTTAGTTCATTCAATATTTTCGCAATGCGGATGCAATGGGCGCTAGTGTTGCAACTCAAGAGTACGAAACTTCACAATGTCAATGTCGATCGATCGGAATTGGATTCAAGAGTAAGCCTCCTGCAGCTGTAGCCGAATGCCATTTAGCGCTTGTCTACATGTAGAATAGAAAACCAAATTATATGGAATTGACGTAAATTTTTCCCCATACATTTAGTTTTCTTCTCTGTAGACAAGCGCTAAAGTGGCGTTTGGCTAAAGGCACTGGTTAGAGAAATCAACGAAAGTATGCGAAATAGTACTTCTATTATACATACTTGATTCGATTCGATTGATTCAATAATTTTCCCCCCTAAAAAATATTGCATTACGACTTTTTCTAATAAACTCAAGCGTCATAATTTACGTCAATGTCTCATTGCGCCGGCGCTTTTATCTATCGTGCGTGATTTCTCGCTTTGTTGATGAGTTATGACTTCGAAAGGAATTTATTCATTTTTAATAACTACATATTATAACAATGTATTATTTTTTATTGTGCATGGATGGAAATGAGAAGTCAGCCTAAGAACAAATGTGATAAACGACATTGTCAAAAAAAACAATTAAATTACAGCCTCGTTGACCGAGTGCCACACAAGTGCGACTGGCGGGCGAAGGGTCTCGGGTACAATATCCACAATTAGTAGGTTTAAAAACAATCTCAGTAGTAGTAGCACGGAGTCTGAAATTGTGCCCAGTATATAGCAATAAGCTCACCCCCTATTACATGGGACTCATAACATAAATAGTGAAAAGTGGGTGTTATATTGTACAGTGGCATTAACTCGTCGAGTACCGGTTTTGTAGACACAATTATAGAACAATAGGTTGCGGTCACCGGTGACCGCTTGGTGTTTGACAGTTTAAGTGCGGTAATGTGCACCTCTGCTTACCCCTCCGTGAATAAAAGGCGTGATGTTATGTTACGTTATACTGCCAATGCATTATTCAGTTGTAATTTACTTACGTACTTATACCTAGTGATGTAGAAAGAATAAAATTTTTTCATGAAAACAAAACAATAGCAAAAACGTGTGTAAATTCTGAGACAACTATACACATATTATGTAAATAAAATGAATCATAAAATGTATTGCAGGTTTATAAAGCGCAAATCTGGGATATTTTGCTAATTATTTCTTGTATTGTATAACTTGTTATTAAGAAGAATAAAGTACAATTTCGAACGGCCCGCTTGTTTTAAGTTTTGTTTTAGTGAATAATACCACGCACATCTTAGCACAGACTAAACATTTTTTGTCCACGACATCCTACATTGTCTATAGTAAAACCACACAATAAAAAATATAGCTGACGAAAACAAATTCTATTACATATGTTAGTAAGTACATACATGTAAGCTTACCCTTTCTAGAAAAAATGGTGTAAGAACTACCAAAACAATACCGAAAAGTACCTCAAAGAATATTTCTCAACTTACTTCAAATAATTATTTACAAAGCTAAAGTATTTTTATTCGTCTGCCGCCAATTCAGAAAACGTGTGATTATTATGATTGAATTGATCAGACAATTGAACAGATTGGAAACAAGATATTGTTATATATAATACTGGTTCAGATTACTCGGATGAAAGACCAGACTTTAATCTACCTCTGTGCCAAATTTCATCAAAATCCATGCAGTAGTTTTTGCATAAAAGAGTACACATACATACATACATACTCGCAAACTTTCATGTTTACGGTATTAGTAGGGTTTTATAAATAAAATAAAATAAACACTAACCTGATAGAAAAGATCCCAAGGTAATCACAATAGATGTCAATCCAAATAATTATTGCACTTTTAAAATGTAATTTTAATTAAGACACGACCTCACCGCCCGGTAGTCCACGACTTACTGAGCACAATATAGCACTGTTGCAGAAGACCGGTATTTAAAAATAATAATTAATATACCATTGCACTTACTCTATACAGCCAAAGGAATGTCAACCTTAAATTCATAAATCTAAAGGTGATTTCAGAACAATGGTTTTGAAAACAAAGGGCCGGATTTGATTTATGAATGGGTTTTCTAGAAAAAAAAATAAAAAGGTTTTTAGTATTTTTTAATGTTTTTGGTTTTGTTTCATTGTCTTTAATTATTGTGTGAAAGTTGTATAGTACTTATGGCAGGTAACTGAGTACAACAGCTGTTGTAGAATAATGGTTATTTTTATGAGTAGGTAAGTGTTAAACTGTTTTATGGGAGTTACTTGGTGTGAAGATATTTAAGACAATATAGTTGGCGTCTGCGACTGGGTGACTGTCTGCTTTTCAACATGTGACGGGCTTAGTTCTAGTTTACATTTTTTTTAAATTTAATTAACTCGTCGAGTACCGGTTTTGTAGACACAATTATAGAACAATAGGTTGCGGTCACCGGTGACCGCTTGGTGTTTGACAGTTTAAATAACCTTTATAAGTCCCAGAGTTTAAAAACTCTAAGGAGTTTTACAGTTCCAAGACTTTGATAGTGTCTAACCGCGAAGTTTGAAGATAGCTAGTAAACAATATTATTTATTTAAACTTTATTGCACATATACTGTGAAATTAGCGTATTATTAATACCGTAGGCATTCTCTGACAGTCGACCATTGGGTGGAGAAAAAGTATGAAGTAGATAACAGAATTTAAGGTATTAAAATATTAAAGGGGATTCAGGGAATGGGGACATTGGTGCAAATTGGGCCTCCGATAACCTCACCCACACGACGAAACACAACGCAAGCATTGTTTCACGTTGGTTTTCTGTAAAGCCGTAGTATAATTCTGATCGAGCCGGCCCATTCGTACCGAAGCATGGTTCTCCCACACTTATTTACACATATTATTATTTATTCCTTCAAATCAACAAACGTAAAGTCATAATATGTTATCCAAATAGATAAAACTCTAAACCAGATTAAATGTACCTAGTTGACCACAGGGATTTATGTGTTGGGTTCCTGGAAATAGGGTTACACACTCAAAAAGGGCTGCCCCAGGGTTTACCCCGATAATTTCTTAATTGCCACCAATTATTATACCCTTTTAACTTTAAATGTTCCGATTCGGTCCTGTTATTCAGTGTTAGTAGTGGTCGTGTGAGTGATGGAGAACGACTGTTAGGGACGTTTTGGTACTTATTGAAATTTGTGTTGATCATACATTTATATGGAAGGAGGAAGGAGATGGCGGGATGAATTTGACACCTAAGACAAGGAATGACTGCAGAAAGCTATGCACAGAGAGGAGTGTGCGTGTAGTGGGTACAGTGGGACGATCACGGATGAAAGAAAAAAAAAATTTACATATTTTGTTTGTTTCGGGGACTGGCTGTATTAGGTATGATTATATACGATGTAAAGCTTTAAGAAATTAATTTCAATTTGCACTTCTAAAGGCTCATTCATTCGTGCGTTGGTCAGTGGACATATTTTTTACGCCGGTGATTGGTTAGTTCGTCAAAGCCATCGCGGCGGTTTTATAAACCGTTGTCTTTGCTGTCAGCATTGTCTGTACGAGCCTATTAAACTGTCAAACACCAAGCGGTCAGCGGTGACCGCAACCTATTGTTCTATAATTGTGTCTGCAAAACCGGTACTCGACGAGTTAAACTTACCTGTACATATAAGTATGAAAGAGTAACAAATGGAGTTTCTTGCTCGTTCTTTTTCATTCGAACCTACATTTTGGAATGAGCACCTAGCGTTACTTACGGACTGACTGACAGGCTGTTTGTATTTGTTGACGTTTCAAAAGTACTAAAATATGGTTTAATCACTTATTCCAATATAAACTTAAATAAAATTAAAACTAACTATCACTAAATCAATGGTTTAATTGAATCAAATTCTTTGACTTTTAAAAGTTATCCGACTTAAGTAGGTATGCCCCAAATTCTATTCGAAATTTCTTCGTATCATAAAAATGCAACAACAATTTTATAGTACCAATTTATTTCTGCAATAAAGTAAGTACTAACCAAGTTATCCTGCGGTATGAAATATAATAATCCAAGTTTCCTCCACATTACATTTCTATATAATGAAACTGGCCTTTTATTGTTACTTAATACCTCACCGCACATTCAACTTGTTAAACTTAGCCAATTATAACTTTGCATGACTTTAACCAATGTTACAAATGGAATATTCGAGAATTTATTCGATTCGACTACGTTTTATACGATCGTCATTTTAATACGCAAGATGTGTGAGGGATGAAGATTTACATTAAACTTAACGTCTTTTAGTTTTATTTTAATTTGTTAAAACTTAATGTATCAGACGTGCCAATCGATTGGTTTCGAGTTTTGGTGATAGTGACTGCATTAATTTAATAATTTAATAATAATTAATAACATAACATCACTTCTTTTATCCTATAGATGAGTAGAAGTGCATATTACATTATTACGGCACTTAATGCCACTGTACAATGCAACACCCACTTTTCACTATTTATGTTAAGAGCCCCATGTAATAAAGAGTGAACCTATTGCCATATACCGGGCACAATTCCAGGCTCAGTGCTACTACTATTGGTTTTTTTTAATATACACTTGCGACCACTCGGCCTACGAGGCAGTCAATTACCGTGGCAGTAATTAGTATTGTGAGCGCAAATTGTTACTTTAATTTATTTATTTATTTCTATTAAATGTGTACTGTGTTTAGTCTAGTTAAGTCTTTATTCGTCTGTAATACCCGGGAGAATAGCAACGGTGATGATAAAAATGCATTCTACTTTACCGTTTACAAAACATCGAATGCAGTTTTTCTATTAAACTACATCGTCACTCTAAGTAAAACTCAAGATGTAATTTTATTAGAAAACTTCTGACATCAGAAGTTTTTAGTACTGAAAGTCTGACATTCTTTTGTTAGTGTGCGAACTTCGCGCAGAACTGGTAATGAACGCTGTATGACAGGTGAGTGGCGGCGTGACGTTGCAACTGGTTAACGAATTCACCTGTTTTCCGCCATTTCGAGTTTTGTGCTGCAAATGATTTTAAGCTGAGTAACGCATTTAATTGTTTCATACACCATAACGCTAAAGCCTTAGACGTATTTTTTTTAAGGGGGGAAAATCATCGAATGACTGCTCCCGCCTGGGTGAGGCGGGAGGGAGTGTCAGACTCTTACTGACTAAAAACCACCTCGTTCCTTCTCCTGTACGTCGAGCCGGAGCCCCGTTACGTTCTCCGCGACAGCTCTAGACGTATGTGATTCGCCGGGGTCGTGCGGTCCATGGCCCTCTACGGCGCCCCTGTTTGGGCGCCTAACCTGTTGCGGCGTCCCGCTCGGACGCTGCTCATGGCACAGAGGGTCATGGCGATCCGAATGATCCGCGGATACCGCACGATCTCTGGGGAGTCGGCGAACCTCCTTGCCGGATTACCGCCGTGGGATCTGGAGGCGAAGGTGCTCGCGCGCGTGCACAGCATGCGCGCGGAGGCACGTCGCCGGGGCGAAACTCCGCTGCCGCGCCAGATAAGTGCGTGGCGGGATGAGCTCCGGCGCGATCTCATGGCGGAATGGCAGCAACGACTGTCGCAACCGAGGGCTGGGCTCGCTGCCATCGCAGCGGTAAGTCCCCTCTTTGAGGAGTGGCTTGAGAGACGCTACGGCGTCCTCACCTACCGCCTGACGCAGGTCCTCACCGGACATGGAAGTTTCGGGAGGTACCTGTGTCTGATGGGGCGGGAGGAAACGCCCGGGTGTCATCACTGCGAGGACCGCCCTGAGGACACGGTGGAACACACGGTGGGAGAATGCCCTTCGTGGGCTGAGCACCGCCGTGTCCTCAGGGAAGTGATCGGCGATGGCGACCTCTCGCGTCCGGGCCTAGTGCAGGCCATGATGCGGAGCGAGGGGGATTGGGATGCCGTCTCCTCCTTTTGCGAAGCAGTCATGCTAGCTAAGGAGGAGGCGGGACGCGTGAGGCAGCGAAGCGCTGCCTCCTCGCAACCCAGCCATCGCGAAGGACACACCGGGCGTCGGGGATCGCGGGACGATCTCCGGCCACCGTAAGCGCGGGCCTGCGGACGGCGAGCATGGGTGGCTCCCCGTCCGACCAGAAACAGACCCGAGCGTACGGCGCGTCGCGTTCCGCGCGCGCCTCAAAGAGCCATCAGACCACCACAGATGGGGCCCAATAGGGCCGATGCCGATTCGGAGTCGCGGAGAACCTAACGGGTAACCGGGGCTCCGGCTCGACGTGCAGGAGAAGGAACGAGGTGGTTTTTAGTCAGTAAGAGTCTGACACTCCCTCCCGCCTCACCCAGGCGGGAGCAGTCATTGGATGATTTTCCCCCTTAAAAAAAAAGACGTATGTGATTGTTATAATAGCATAAGTAGAATTTTCGGTTGCAATGTTATTAGTGTTAGTGTTCGACTTTTATTGACTGTTGTGCATCAAGTCGCGGGTTAGATCCCTTACATGGTACATTATTTTTTTGTGTAATCTACAAATTACTGATCCTAGTCAAAATGCGATGTTTATGTAAAATAAGAGAAAAGACGATCCAGGAGAAAAGTAGGGCACCGTTTTTTTTTTTAGTTTAAATGAGTGAGGTAAACGAGACACACATAAAAAGTTTATCTTTAATATCTTTTTTTAAAACAAATAACCTTATCCTTTTTCAAACGAAGCAATTCCAATTTCAAATTACAGTACCAAATCGAATCTATCATATTTCAAACGTATTCTAGAATCACAAACTATTTTTTTTCTATTTTTTCTTTTCTTTTTTTTCTATCTAATTGCTAGATATTAGAATGACATCTATCGCTGTCAATGTCACCCTGACAGGTTTAGTTGTCAAACTCCTAGAGTTTGGAAGTTCCACCGTATAATT